TTTGCATTTGTCAAATTTGAAAAAATATGCCAAAAATAAATCTCAACAATAAAAGAAAATATGATACCCTAAAATAGTATAATATTATATAAAATGAAAAAGGTAATTTTTTGGATTAAAATGTAATCTTATTATGAATGTCAGATTTGTGCTAAATTTTCAAAAGTGTCACGAGAGAAAAGGTACGTCTTAAAAAAGCATAGATTTTCGAGGAAAATTATACCACATAAATGTAAGTGTAATTGTATATGAGAAATGCTATATAAGTACGTAAACTGTATATAGAGTTGTACATAACACACATAAGTAATTTCTATTAAAAATAAAAAATTAAGTGAACCCCACTCTGTGTGAGTGCTATGTACACCATTGTGTACGTTTATTATGTATTTGTAGTATTTTTCATTGTATATTATATCAATCAGTATTATCTTTTGTTTGACCTCTTGTTCTTGTAATATTTTATATTATATAAAATTGAAAAGTATACTCTAGATAATTGAACCAATATTTTGTAAGTTCAACAAATGTAATGCTTTTAGCTTATTATTTAGATAATTAGCATTTTTTTTATTAGGTTATACATATATCTATTTTTTAAATATTCCAAAAAAGGGGGATATGAACAATTTGATTACACCCCCCCTCCCCCCCAACATTTTATGGGAACGAAATTCCATGTTATATTCTTATATTCCACTTTAATGTTTTATTTTATTTATTACAAGTGACATGTATCGGATTTAAATATAATTCTATTTTATTTTTTTCCATAATGGTATGAACAAGAAAACAAATTCATCAACCTTTCAGGAAAGAGCCATAACAAATTAAAATCGATTTTGATTAGATTCTAAGTTATTTTGAATAAAGTTGATTGAGTGAAACGAGAAATTTTGTAATTAAATTATACTTAAAGTTTATGAATAAAGTTGATTGGGTGAAACGAAAAATTTTGTAATTAAATTATACTTAAAGTTTATGTATTAAAGTTGATGTGATGTAAAAGTAAAAAAAAAAACAATGAAAATGATAGATAATTAAATATATGTGAATTAAAGTTGATGTAATGTAAAAGAGAAATTATTGATATTATTTAATTATATTGATCCCATCAAAATTGATTTTAACGAATTTTAACTCGAATCCCCTCCAAAATGTCCTAATACTCTCATTATAATTTACTAATATTAGAGCCAAATTACGGGTTAATAGTTTGGCATAATTACAACCTTAACAATAAATGATATTCAACCAATAATTACAATCTTATCAATAAATGATATTCAACTAATTTATCTGACCTGAATATAACACACATTATACTATCTGCATATTCTGCATGCTAGCTTGTGGGAAAATCATATGAAGAACATACACTACTGGCCAAGAACATAATCTGGAGCATTTATTTTTCCCTAAATGTTTTCAATATGGAGAAGAAAACTTGAGCTATAAGAATCACATAATTTAAGACGGTTTCGATGGATGCATATTGCAGTTTAAAGGTCATGCTCGATATATCATGATTAAAAATGGACTGCAAACTACTGCAATTGCACAAATGAAGCTCGATACCTCCCGAAATATGACTATGTATGGAAGGAATAGACATTAGCACGGTTATTCGATTACGATATCAGCTAATATTTAAACGACGACAAACACAGACAATGAGAATATAAGTCCAACCAACATAAGCAAAAGACAAACTTATATCAGAAAGCTTCCCATTTCATACAATTCTCTGTTTGGAATCAAAATACGGAAGATTAATCGAGCTATCAATGAACATATCCTATCAACTCAATGTACTTAGCATGGAAAGAGCATTGTTACAACTCATAAAGCCAAAAGTGCTTACTTAGTAGCCAAAAGTACCTTAACTTCAGTCACAAGAAGATATCTTCAGAGCTCAAAAGACATTCCTTCGATCAGTATTAGTTTGCATTCCATAGCTACCACAATATGCTGCTAACGTAAACTGTTCTTCCCAACATATATTCCGCAAAAACCAGTACCAAAATCTGAACCAGACACCTAAAGATTAACCCATAGACCTCCATTTCAAACAAAACCAGAGCTCCAAAAATCGTAACAAAAACAAGGAACCGAAACCATCAAACCATAAGCTTCCCAAAGCCAAAGAACATCAAGAAAACTAACAAAAGGCTACCCAGAAAATGAAACCCCCTAAACAAAACTTCCAAGTTTAGACAACAAAAGGAAGTAAACCAGTAAGAGACCACTCAGAAAACGAAACCCCTGAACCAAGATTTTCGACAGCAGAGGACCATAAAACTAAAAACAGACTAACCCACGATTGAAAACCCTAAACCAAATCATCAAGTCCTACATGACAAGATCAAGAGAAATCAAGTTTCAACAATGGAAGACAGGCAACCAGTAAAAGACTATTCAAAAAAACAGACTAACCCAAGATTGAAAACCCAGAACCAAATCATCAAGTCCTACGCAACCAGAACAAGAGAACAAAAAACAAGAGCAAAAAAGACAAAGAAAAGCAAAACCCCTAAAACCTCCCCAAAACCCCTAAAACTTAAGATGAAGATATTTGTTTGTATTATGTGTGCGCATCACAATCGTTCCATAAAATGCAAAGAACTGGAGCATATTGCAACAAAAGATTGAAATCACACATTGAAAAACCAAAAAGATACTGAAATCCCAAAATGAACTTCAGATAAACAAGCTAACAAGGACAAACCATTGAAATAAAGTCCATGCACCCCGGCAACAAAACACACACCTAAAGCTACGAGACTTACATGTCAACGACAGATTCAACTACTCAAAAGATACACAATTATAGGTCAAACTAAGAAAATTAAGACTAAAATTATATAAGAATTCTTGGTCATAGTTGAAGTCGCCTGTATGAAAGCCCTACAAAGAAGCACAAAAAAAAAAAATAAAAAATAAAAAATACATCAGACTACAAGGAAAAAGCACTTAAGAGAAACAATCAAGCTGAAATTTCAAGAGCATATTGCAAACATCAACACATAAGTGCAGTCACAAATGGGGAGTTTGTAAAGGGAAATTCGAGCACCTAACCAACACTACGGCAGACATCCACATGCATCACTTTCATAGAAATATTCAACGAATAATCAAGGAGATAAGATTTGACATTGGTAGTACAAAAACCGAGTCGAACGGAGAAAAATGGATGAATCAATCAACAAATGGAGGACCCCAATTGCATTTGAATACATGTGTCCCTTGTCAATCATCTAGTATTCCCAGTCAGAATGTATAGATATTATTCAAATAGTTTCCTATGCGAACTTCCATGTTACATTAACAGTACACTGCTGCAAACGACTGTGTTTGCAGAGGATGGTGAATTAGAGAGATTGGACTTCAGGCAGCCAAGGAAATAAACCACCGAAACATAATACATTAACATCAGTTAGAAAACAAAAAACACAAATGAAAAGGAAAAAGAAAAAAAACCGCACCATATATCGCAGCCAAACAGAAGCAGAACTCGAAACGTTTTCCTGAGGGTAAATATTTTATATCACAAAAGCAAAAAAGCAAAGAAGTGGAGCATATTGCAACAAAAAAAGATTGAAATCACACATTGAAAAGCCAAAAAGATACTAAAATCCCAAAATGAACTTCAGATAAACAAGCTAACAAGGACAAACCATTGAAATAAAGTCCATGCACCCCGGCAACAAAACACACACCTAAAGAAGCAACATTTTCAATTCTCCTACAGATTCAACTACTCGAAAGCTACGACATCAAACTAAGAAAATTAAGACTAAAATTATATAAGAATTCTTGGACATAGTTGAAGGCGCCTGTATGAAAGCCCTGCAAAGAAGCACAAAAAAAATAAAATAAAAAAAAAATATTCATCAGACTACAAGGAAAAAGCACCTAGATAAACAATCAAGCCGAAATTGCAGGAGCTATATTGCAAACATCAACACATAACAAATGGGGAGTTTGTAAAGGGAAATTCGAGCACCTATATCAACCAGAGCAAGGGAAACACACAGCAAGACATTCAGTCTGGCATTCCACATAATAAAGATTAGCACCACCATCATCCTAGTTCTCAGCTTAGATTGGTCAAGCCCGAGATATGGTTGTAAGTGTTTTACTTAATAAATATATTCACAACAAAAATATCTCGTAATATTACCTCTACTTCCTACTTCTTGAGCTACTTCCTACTCCTTGAGAAGTCATCTGGATAAATGCGTCAACCTTCAGGTCCAATTGCTTTAGCGACTCACGAATTTGGGCCGTGCCCTCCACAAGTTTGATCGTGCGATCTAGGATTCTTTGACATTTGGTCTGAATTCGGGCCTCGTCATCTAGGAGATTTTGAATATGGGTCGGAAGTGGAGTCCCCTGCATCTCCCAATTTGCTAGAATCGTTCGAACCCTAGAGCTCAAAATCAGCTTGGCTCCTGCAGAATCAGCGGCGTTTAGAACCTGGGTCGCCTTGTTCTTGAACGAGCCGCTCGCCACGCAGTTGTCGATGATCAACGTCTTTGCGGCGGAGGATGGGCCGGCGGCGGCGGTCTTAGGCTTCTTTCTCCTGGGGGGCTCGGGGTCGGAGAAGGAAGCGTTCACGGTGGGGGCGTCGCCGAGGACGGCGCCGCTGCGGGTGGACCTGGAGGCAGTGCGGGCGCCGCTGCGGGTGATTCTGGTGGGGTTGGAGGGCTCGCCGGCTTCGCTTCCGAGTTTTCTTTTGGGCGCCATCTCGAGGGTGACTGGTTAGGGTTAAAACAGTGTTTTCTTTTCTCCTTTTAATGGAGATTTTTCACGCTGCCGATTGGGGATGACGATCTGTCGCCGTCCAGTGCCTCTGTACACGCGCTTTTGGGCGGTCAGGATTTTGACACGTGGCCCCCACCTCCGGAAGCGAGAACGTCGCTATTTTTTGGGATAATAATGACTAATTTTTATTTTTTAATTCTATTTTTTGAATTGCAAGGGTGTGATTTGATAATTGAATGATTTTTTTTTTATTAATTATAGTTAATTTTGAAAAAAAGTTGTTGAGTTAGTGAAGAGTGTGATTTGAGTTTTGTATTAAAATAATATTTAAAATAACATAATTGAAATTAATTTAATATAAAAGTACGTTAAACGTGATTAAAAATGATATTTAGTTAAAATTACGTGAATTAAGGAATAGTGAACTAATGATGATATGATACATGTACAAAAAAAAGATGATATGATATATAAAGATGATATTATTTAAGTATATTCAATTTATAATATTGAGGAAAGTGTAGTTGACGGTTAAATTTGAGTTTTAATAATTTTTTTTTTTTT